CCCCCCCCCCCCCTTCCCCCTTTTCCTTCCCGAACGTATGCGCATCCGATTACGCGTTTATCGCCACACCGTTTCCTCCCCTAATTAACGCGCAGAGCAGCTCCGGCAACGACCTCGTAATTCCATTCGCGGCTCGATCCGCGACCAGCTGGTGTAACGTGGCTCGCCAGTGCCCCGATAACGAGCCTTTTCTCGTTTACCGTCATCCGACTAGAACGACCAGAAGCTTCGCGATCGCTCGCGGTGTCGAAAGCTTCTTCCGTCCTTTCTGAAACGCGAGACCCCACGGTCAATCGATTACCGCACCCTCGGTTTCGTTCTTCGTCCCGTTGGGTCAGGTGGACGGTAGCGAAACGGCTTCGGGTAGGATCGAGACCGATTCGTGGAGTCAGAGACGAGATACGCGGTCGATAACACGGATGATAAGGCGAATACCAGGGGTCTGCTTCGAGGAAGTGGATGGAAAGCGAAGGAAATATTTCTTTTATACGTTTCGATGATCAATCGTGGGAAGATCTTCGTCGTTTCACCGAGACTCCGAGTCAGACCGTGTCCCATACCCTCCTCCACGACGCCATTATCAAGCGTGCTTCACAAAGGATGTCCGCGATAAGCGTCGGCGTCATCGACCGCTTGTCGTGCACGAGAAACTCTCGTTTACTGCGATTTCCATAATTTCTCCGCGAAGAGGAAGCATTCAGCGTTCTGCTCTACCCCGTGCCCCCGTTCCGAGCGCCCCCCGTTTCGACCGCGTAATTCGGATAGTCGGAGAGAACGGAAAAATTGCGCCAACGTCGAATCGAATTGGTTCTCCAGTTCTCTTCGATACCCGTTGCTCCGCGATCGAGACGTTTCACCGTGAACCCGCTAATCTTGCCCCGCAACCGGATCATCGACGGTTAATTAACCGTTCCTGTACGGAAACAAGCGTCGGGTGTACCCGTTGGTAATGGAGTTTCCACGATAAATCGACCGATCGTTCCTCCCGTTGCAGACACATACCAAAGGCGAAGGCCACCACGATGGCGGAGACGCCGGAGCTGAAGCGTATCGCGGAGAACACGAAGATCCAGAGCAACGTGAAGTACCACGCGGAATTCGAGAAGGCGAAGGGCAAGTTCACCCAGGTGGCGGATGACCCGGAGACTCTGAGAATCAAGCAGAACAGCAAGATCATCTCGAACGTCGCCTACCACGGCGAGCTACAGAAGAAGGCGATCATGGAGCAGAAGAGGACGATGACCGGTGAAAATGGCGAACAGATCGGTGAGTCGAGGCTGGTCCTCTGGCCCAAAACCCGTCCTCTTCCTTTCCCTGTGATCCTCACTTGGTTAAATGTCCGCATTCGCCGTCTGGTAACCGGTGAATGGAGGCTCTCGAGCTTGTTTTTCGTACCTAACGAGTATACTAATATTCGCACTGTTTCTCGAGATCGCAGATTCCCTTTGTTTCCCATCGCGATACGACATCGCGGCACGGTAATCGCGACACGGGCCGAGTCCAGAGTCTCGAGATTAGCACCTCGAGCTCTCGTGCTCCGCTCCGGGCCTCCTCAAGGTTCGCGTTTGCGTCCTAATCGACTCCCTCTTCGCACCGTCCTCGTAACAACGCTTAACCGGGAGAGAAGAGTCCCACTAATCCACGAATCTGCGCACTGCCATGAACTACTGGTCGCTTTCCCTTGTGTGTGAACGTTGTCTAACCAACGCTATCTCTCCCGTGTCCCGTATATTCGTTCGATCCACGGATACCGCCGCTAGATACCCCATAGAGACTAGACGCGTACGATAAGAAGACGGTAGAGACTCGCGAAGTGGAATACCTCGGTCCCCGGGTGGACCGGTAGCTGGCGTTGAACCGTTGTCGAAGAGCATGTCGGCAACTTGTATATTGTTGGCTCTAGAGTACGTAGAGTACACGGACGGTACGATCGCGCCTGCGTCTGGCGTGAACGCGAATCCACCGGCCGCTAGAACTGCGAGCTCGCCGGTGCAAAGGACACCAGGTAGGATCGCCGATTACGATCCCCTTAGCGAGGCGAGACCGAGCCCCTATTCCGCCAGGCAAGCGGCCACCACTGTGATTTATACGAGCGACAAGGGACCAGGTGAGTTCTCGCCCATTTTACGGAATAGATTCCTTCCTATCTTGCCTCTCAACCTTCTATTTCTCCGGCTAGCGCGTAGAAGCGTTTACCGTATTATTCATTTCTGTTCGCTTCCTTTATCTATTTTTTTCTTTTTTTTCTTTATATCTTCTTTCTTTTATTCCTTTTTATTAGACGTAATCGTTGCGAGAAAGCGAGAGCGTACAGGCTGAACCGTGTTTCGCTGGAAAGCTTCGTCGCGACGCCTATGCGGCGGACTCGCGGGAGCGGGGATGGCTCGTGGCGTAACTAGCGGTAGTGGGGGAGTGGCCTTGACAGCCACGCGATTTCAGACGGGCTGTAATTCGATTGAAAGTCGTGTCCAAGGGTGTACGGCAGAGAAACGAAGCGATGGAAATAGGCGGTACACCCTGTACGCTCTGCGCTCTATTTCTTTGCGCTCTCCTGACACTGGACCGATACTTAAACGCAATTGGAACATACCCTCGCTGCCTTGTTTCGCGTACGGCCGACCATATGGGTTGGCCATTCGTTGCGTAACCGGCAACAGTTAGTTTCAATAGATAGCCTTTTAATTGGATTAGTTCGAACGATAGGTGGATACAGTTCGGTTGCTCCTTATTGTAACGTCGGCCATTATCTACACGAACGACGTCACGGCGAATTTATGCAGTCGTTTCCCCGTGGAACGATCCGCTTCTTGAACGTTCGATGTCGGTTCGATATTTCTGTGAGAAGTATAACGCATAATCGACGGGAAGCTGTTGTGGTTAACGCGGTGGCTGGTCGAACAGTATTTTCGTACTTTTTTTTTCCTTTTTTTTCTTAGATTTGTTTTCTGTGTGACCGTGTGACACGTTTTTCTTTTCTTTTTTTTTCCCATTTGTTGTTGTTGTTGTTGCTGTTATTGCCAACTCACTGATCGCATCGATTCACTCATAACTGCTTCTCGATTTTTCTGCACCATTTTGCATCCGTTGCGCGTGGTTTACACGTTCATTGAACACGGTGTTCGACACGCTAACACGTGGTTTCAAGGAAGTTGCGTTTGAAATCGACGCTTGGTGTTTGAAAAGAATGTCTCGCGAGAAAGCGTTCGACGTTTCACCCGAGTAAACCCGACGAATCGTTCCAGTGACGAATCCACCAACCAGAAAGATCGGTTCCGTGGCGGATATAGACCCCGTGAACGAGTACTACGGATCGTTGACGCCAGCAACGAACAACAACCACGTACCGCAGCATCAGCCGCCTCCACCACCACCTTCCAACGTCGGGGTAAGTCCTTTTCATCTCGTTTACATTTTTAAATAAGCATCCGCGAGATTTTTCAAACGCTTTGCGAAATCCTTCTATTACCGCCATCTTTCTCAAACATCGAAACAGAGGACAGGTCCTGCATGCGAGAGAATCCTTAATCCAGTCGATTAATCATGCAACCTCGTTTTCCCTCGTCCATTAAAATCACTTAATCCTCTCGTTACGTAAACACACGGTGTACGTACGCGAAAAATGCCATCTGGCATCATTTGGCATCTGCGTTTTAGCGGATACGCGTCTGAAGTTTGACTAAAGTCAAATTTATTAACGTTAAACCTGTCATGACTAGTCAAAATGATCTATGTGAGATATATTTTAACAAAAGTTGGCGAGATACGAAAAGAAGTTCGCACTTCCTGATGCCATACTGTCAGCAAAGTACCATTTCTCGGAAAAAAGATGCGTTTCAATGACTTTCGAATTTGAAACATTTAAAAATTGCGCGATGGGACGTATGGGACGTAATTGCACTTGGGTTTTCATTTTCTTTCAAAATAATTTCTTTCCTTTGCACTCTGAGTAATTCTTCCTATGAGCACCTACTCTGGGACTATTTACAATGGCACGAGCGCGCCTCTGTGGAAGATGGAAAATCCTACTTTCTCATTAAAAAAAGAAAGCGTGAAAAAAAAAAGAAATTTCATTATGTTGCCGTTGCGGTGACAAAGGGGCTATTAGCTTACTTAACATTGTCGACACAATGACGACAACGAAGTGCAAAGGGTTGAAATCGCGTGCCCCTAGTCATAGGTTTAGCCTATTAGATGCCTGTCAGTGGTTACCATAAATTGACCGTTTTGATGAATTTGCAGAGAGTGTACAGAGCGATGTACGACTACGAGGCGCAGGACCTCGACGAGGTTAGCTTCTGCGACGGGGATCTGATCGTGAACTGCACGGCCATCGACGAGGGCTGGATGACCGGTCTGGTGCAGCGCACGGGACGACACGGCATGCTGCCCGCGAACTACGTCGAGCCGGCCCAGATTTAAACCGGCCCTACCTTCGAGCATCCTCGTCGTCTTCGTTTCACCGGATGGCCTGGCCGACGAGCAGCACTCGAACGCTCCGCACGAGGAACGCGTCGCGCGGACCAGAGACGCGGAGGAGGAGTGGTTTGGCGTAGACAGGCCTAGGAGCACACTCGTCGACGCTGCGGAAACGAGATACGATGACGAGCTAGCTACTGACTTCCGATCGGCGATTTCGCAGCGAAACGAAGCGTCGTACTCGCGTACTCGATGCCGATGGCGGATGCGCGGCGATCGGTCAGGGGATCAGAGAGTCTTTGTCGCGTCGATCAGAGTGATTCCTTTTGTCTGTCGTATAAGGTTCGTGTATTCAATGAAATCGTCGATCTTCCTTTTTCGCAGAGGGACGAGCGAATGGACTTAATCTTGCAAGATTTCCCGCGCGAGCACCGTGAACGCTCGTTCGAATAGATGATTAATCGTGATGTTCTTTCACGCACCGAGTGCCTGCGTCGTTTCGCATTTAAGTCGGGGAACTAGAGGGTAATTCCATGTTGGGACCAAATTCTACCCCTATCGCGGGGGGTCGCTGTACTAGGGCCCAGAGTGCTCGAATAGCGGTTTTATGCGAAAGCTTCGATCCAGATTTTTATCACACTTTTTCACCGCGACACGGTTCTTCGTGTCGTTGGACGGTTTTACGATTTTCATAACCATTCCGTTGCTTCGAGGATTCCACGGTAATGATGACTCGATGATTGCACGGTGACGGAGACCGGAAGACTCTGCGCGTTTCTTACCTTTTTACCCAATGAATATGTTCTATTTGAAAGAAAGATGTCGAAGAATGTGTAATTTTTTTTTTTTCTTTTCTTTTCTCTTTTTTTTTTTAATACTAGTAACGGTATGATAAGACAGTTTTGTTTCGCGTCACGTAAGCGTCTTGTATCTGCATGCACGGTGGTTTTCTTTTTACACGGGATAATACTCTTTCGGTCTTTGCTCGCCTCCACGTCTGATGAGCGTTCTTGCGCGTTTTGTAAATCGTTGAAGCGAACAATATGCGAATTGCATGGGATATTTATTTAGAACAGTTATATAGACGGTGTCGCAATGTTTCTCCGCCAAAAGACTCGGGCTCATAGATCAAGCCACGCATTGCGTATTGCGATCCAATACGAGACAACGATGTGCCTTATATACGTAGACCTCTAATTAGAAGAATCTTTGCGCGAATCTTTCATCGCGATTTAGAGCGAACAATAAAACAGGAAAGCATGTAATTATAATGTATTCGCGAGCAACGTTACGTATCATCGGAGCACACAGAAGGAACTTCATATATGGGGTATGGCGAAAGTGAATTCTAGTTAGGACTATAAACGAAGAAGAATGTAATGTAATTGTTGATAGGAAAGTTTCGTTACACTTGCCTTGCTCGATTCGATGCATTTCGAAAGGAAGCAACGATCGCTGGAAACTTTTATTAACGTTTCTCTTTGTCTAATTAACGACATTAACCGACATTTACCTATAGTAGCTGTTAAGTTTTATCACGCGAGGTTCGCCTGTATTAAAAATGCTTTCTTTATCGGCTTTCTACGATCCTTTCAGTGCTGCGCGAGTGACTCGCGGCGCGCGGCTGCGGCGCCGAAAATCTCGTCGGAAACGATTATCGAATGCGGAGATCTCGTTTCGATCTTCGTTAGCGTTCTCGTGTTACAAATCTCTATCCAGCGTTTTCGAGCGTTTCAACGAGCGATTCAGGAAACGCAGGTGTTTCAATTGTACATAATGTAACAAAGTATTATTTTTAGTTAGTATATACCGTTAGCTGTAAGTCGCAATAAATTTCATTTGTATTTTACAGTGATGTTGAACGCAATTTGAAATTGTAATAATTGTAAAATCGCGGTGTGTAAACTTTTCCAACGAGAACTTTTTCATTTTTCTACGCGGTGTATCTCCTTAATTACATGTGCAGTTGAACGAAACGCGTTTCTTGAACCTACCGCCGTTCTATTCGACTTATTTAAACACGCGTATGTGTACGAAACGGTACTGAAAGGATTGGATCGCTTCTTGCAGACACTTTTATCGCGGCGAAACGGGATTTACCGGCGATACGAGATTGTTCTCCGCTGTGGTCTGGATTTTATAGATAGCTTTATACCTTCCTGACGTTCGGTTAATGTACAGATAATATCTGCACCATCGCGGAGATTAACCGTGCCTTGCTTCCGATTCCCTAATCCGTTTCTTACCCTTTACACACACACCACACACACACACACACACACACACACTCGTCCATTTTATTCTGCGAAATTTTCTATCCCCCCTTTTGCTGGAAATTTGGTTCCTCGGACACAGATCGTATCTATTACATTGCATTTACCTGAGTAGGAGAATAGAAGAAGTTTATACGCTATATATGTAAAAGAAATAAATAGTAATGTTGTTGCGTGCGTGCGCGCGCTCGGCCGTGCGCGACGTCGTTCGACTTTTCGTGATAAACCGCGAGGAGATATATTCATATTTTTGGAAACATGTTAGCATTATTATTATTATTATTATTATTAATTATTATTATTAATATTATTATTAATATAATTATTATTATTATTATTATTTCCCCCTTTTGTAATTATTAGAACACCGATAAGACGAAGGATCTATGATTTATAATTGAGAAAGCATACAGAAATATATGTTAGCGTTGTTTAAAACAGATAATATTATATTATGATACGAGATCATAAACAATGAATATGTTATGTAAATTGTCGTCTGTTGATTATTGTTATCCTCTCCAGATATCGCATAGACTCGTTTCGTTTATCACAGTAGTGGAGATTCTTTGGTATATCTTACATAACCTATCCGTCTTTCGCTTTTCCCTTTTTCGATACAATTTAAACATTTTCAAACATTCTACAAACTTTTCAATTACGTTTAAACTACGTCGAGGTCGAAATTCTCCTAGACTTTATCCGAGGATTTAGAAAGTTCGTCATCTCGAGTCGTACGACGCTACGAATTTGCGAAAACGCAGCAGTACGGGCGATAGCTGAGAAAAGAAAAGATCCTGCTGCGAAAAACGGAAAACTTGCGATCGCTGCAAATCAAGAAAAATAAAAGAAGTCGGCGTTCAAGTATAAAAAATGCACATTTATTGAAAGTGATATAAGTACAGTAAAAGGGTAACTGTTTCGTAAGACCGGTATCGCAGTGATAAGTGCCCGTTGCCGACTCCATATGAAACAGATTTCGGCAGAATTTTGTTCCACGAACGAACCGCGTGTGAGAAACTTGTATCTCACATTGATTCGAAAATTCTGCTTCAACGACACTCGAATCTGGTACAAAGCTTCGTACAGTTAAACTTGATGAATGTTAATCGTTCCGGTAACTGAGGAATTTGAAGACTTCAATTATCAAAAGAGGTTAGAATACCAAGTGTGCCATTCGTAATCTTATCAATTTGCTATCACTTTCTTTACTTTCTTATTCATTACCCTTTAACTGCCGAGATTTCTCCACTAACGTTGTCGTAAAACAAAAACGAATATTCAAGAAAGCTAAACAAAAAAGGAAGCATCAATTGGCAAATAGTAAATGCATGATAGCAGCGAGGTTAACGAAAAGGATCCCGAAGCAGTTAAAAGGTAGACGCATCGCGTTAATTCTCTAATACAAAGCGATACATTTCTTCGACAAAATTAACACGTTTTCAAATACGAAACACCCAATACAAAAGCTGTTTACGTTAACTCATCCACCCGGCAGTGTAGCAACATTACGAGACACGAAAGCAAAGAAGCAGGCGCCAATGATCGCGAAACGTAACGAATTTAACGCTAAACTTGACACTAAAATCCATCGGAAATCTATCGATCCGTCAAGACCATTCTTCTATTTTGAAAATGATTTCTTAATCTCTTAAATTTTTCGCAAACTTATCTGACGTAAATAACAAATAAACGCGAAACAACAATTACTAAATTGTTCGATCGAAAAGCTCCCCACTCTTCTTCCAGCGTCGCTGAAGGTGGGGGTACAAAGTGAAACAGTCACGGTGGGGATGAGCCTACACAGAAATGGCCTTGAACGGTCAACCGATATCGGACGGACTATACCTCGACCGAGAAACCGCACTGCCTAGCCACATCGGTGAAATAACACGCAAAATCAAGGATTCTTCCTCTTACATCGCATTTCTCCTTCGTTTTTGTTATATTTTCTCTATCTCTGTTCGTTTATATTTTCCCTAACGCATTCAATGTGGCTCTTCTCGACTATCCGCTGAACTCCAAAGAATCGTTATCAGACTTTTGTTCTTCCTTATCGTTCCTAACGATTTGGCTACGACGTATACACTCGACGAAGAAAAATATTTTCCCTAATTATCCGCTAATCATCCCTTGCGCGCTCCTATTACCTTGTCGAGTATCGAACGTTGATTATCTCTTTGCACCAGCATCTCGGTTACTCTACCGTCGTTCCTTGGCACGAAGTAAAGCTGCTTTTCGTTTTCCACGATGAGTCTAGTGACGGATACATGAGACGGACTATAAATTTGGCGGCATAAGCTGAACCTTGCGATCGGATGTGTTCTGTATGGGTACAGGGTTGTACACGTGAGCGTGTATGCGTGTATATGTGCCAACGGGGTTCGCGATTAGGGGATGTGACCGGGTAAAAGAACGCCTACACAGCTATAAAGCGACCTCGATACTAATCGCTAGTAATTATCAGAATACAAAGTCGAACGGAATGACTGAGAGAATACGTAACACGATGGAATGAAATATATGAACTTAACAACGAAGGAAGAACGGAGTTGGTATAAAAAAGTACAGAATAAATACAGTAGAAAATGTAAAGAAAGGGAAAAAGTTCAGTCTACGACATATTCCAACCTAAATGCAATTTCGCAAAATCTTCATCATCTTTACCCTTTCCCTAATCTAGAATTCTTAAAAATAAACTTCTACAGGCAGATACAGAGAAGTTTTCTCCGGTTATAGCAAACCTAGAGACTTACTCTTCTAAACGAAACTCTAAAAACGCTTACTTCGCTTAAACAAAGATTCTAAACAAAGGTTTGGTCCTCGAAGGCAATAAACTGAACGCTATCATTCGTACCCAACTCCAATCCATCGACCCCTGTTATTCCCAACGTCCAACAAACTCTGCGGACACCTTAAAATCCTGTCGCTATTTTCTCACAACAAAATCGAACACGGTGACTAACAGAAGCAAAAGAACCGGTTACAAAATCGGTCGGCAATCTAGTCGGCTATTGCCAACGGTCCATCGAGCGTTTTGATGCTGTGTAGGTCCGCAGAAGACGCCTGGGTACCGCGTCCTCTTCGTGTTGATCGAGAATCGAGGTTTCTTTGGGCGTCGTGCGTCGGAGGATCCGCGTGCTGGCAGTGTCTCTTTAAACGTAGCGTGATCTTTTCGTACTTGTTTCCCTTTCTCATTAAAACGATACATGTATTCAGAAGTGTATGTGCGCGCGCGCACGCGCGCCTGTGTACGTGAGTATACACGTATTGCTGAGAATTAGCCCGCCTGCTAATATCCGGCCAGGTCGGCGAACGTCTGGTCCATCTCGTCGGCGATCGCTTTGTACTTACAGCGCTCGTTTACCACCACGTCTGCAATGCAAAAGGGAGGGTTACGTGGCATTAGTCGGATGTTAGACCCTGTGTTAGTCGGACACCTTTACCATCGCTTGTTAGTCAAAGAGAAAGAGAGAGAGAGAGAGATAGAGAGAGAGAGAATGCGTTGTTACGATTTAGCAGAGGGACTCTGATCTGATCCGATTTTGACCATTGGTTCGTTCAATTGGCAGCTGTGGCCTTGTCATACCCTTCTCGGATACGATTAGGCTCGGGTGATAAAGACTACGGTCGCTCGTGACGGTTACAGATGACATTATTATTTGTTAGTGGGTTAGTGTACTTTATAAATCGGGGCTCGAGGGAGGATGTCCTTTAGCGCGAGGATTCGCAATAATTAGAGCTACTTGTCGTTCGCATATCTTTATTGAGGCTCATAGAGGTGATCGTTCCAAGAAGACGCTGCTTCTTGGGCTATCGTGTTACAGTCGTTAACAATAAAAAAGAAGACTGGTTTCAGGGCGAAATCTTTATTTTGCCTGTTTGCCTGGCTACAACGATCGACGCTTGCGCTGCGCGGTGTATAAGAGTGTCGCGCGTGGTCGAAAGTGAGTACTTACCAAACACGTTTCGTCGCGGAATCGTAACGGAATCATCGTAAACGAGTGACTCGACTAATCGTAATCTAGAATACGGAGTTGTCGACTGATTTACAAAAAAAAAAGAGACAGGAACGAGGGAAGAAAAGAAGAAAAGAAGAAAAGAAGAAAAGAAACTAGGGGGGAGAAAACTTGGTGGACGAACAAACCGGGAACGAAGTTGTCGACTGGATAAGATAAAAAAAAAGAAAACGAAAGAGGAAATTGGGCGCGAAAGAACGCGGAACGTATTTGCTTGAAACGCAACGGTTTTTAGATACAATGGTAACAATAATAATAATATAAGCGGACTGGCCGGTGTCACGAAGCGACCATGATGGTGCATCCGGTCGTTTCGTCGGCGCACAAGCCCGGCCAATTATTTCGACAGCCGATGGACACGTACGATCGCCGATTATCAATTAATTCTTCTCGATCAGCTCGGTGAAGGTGAGGTCCAGGTCGTCGCAGATGTATTTGTACTTTTCTTTCTCGTGTACGAGCTCGTCTGAAAGGAAGAGTGTTCCCATTAATAACTGACACAATCGAGTAAATCGTTTATCTACCATTACGCTTACACATAGGATATAATCTGTACCCTAAAAAATGAGTACGAGCAAAAATTTTTCACCAATTTCACGTACACGTGATAAATAACAGTACCGTCGATACGAGGATGGTCTTATGCTGATAAAAAGTGATTCGTTAATGATCAAAAATGGCTTGGTTCTTAGCTCTTTGCTTTCGTCGTGCAGAGACGTCTTTTTGTAAGAACGTAGGCAGTAAAATAGGGGGAAAAAAAGAAAGGAAAAGCGACGAAAACGAAGAGCCAAGAGCAGAAAATGGTTACAAGGATTTGCAACGCCAAAGTGCGTCCATAGAAGATATTCATGATCCGTTATGGCAAACTAGAGCCTCGAGATCGTTAGTTAAGCGGGTTAAGAAGCTCGTGAAGTAACTTACGGATTACGTGTTAAGAGCAAGCGAGATTGTGAGAAAGGTGACTGTATTATAATTGATGCTATATATATGTCTATATATATATATTTTTATTTGTTTGGTCGAAGCGTTAGGGGGGTTGGTTAGTGGCTCGTTAGACGCCGTAGAGTTCCATGAACGCCTGATCCAAGCCGTCCCCGATCTCCTTGTACTTCTCCTTCTCGGCCACCATTTCATCTGCAAGCATTCGCAATGTTATTTCGAAGAACGTTCGTACCCTCTTCGATATCTGCCCGCGGTGTGTCGCGTGTTCGAGCAGATCTAAGCTCTAAGAAGGTAAGCCGTTGTATCGTTAAAGAGCTGTGAAGCGTTGGTGACGTGGACAGGAAGCGGGCTTTGGAGTAGATTGAATGTTCTTGCTGAATATTTTAGTAGAGATGAATGAGGCCGATGTTCTCCGAGAACGCGAAGCGTGGTGTTTGAATTATGGTTTATGACGCTGATGTAACGCGCGAGATATTCTAGATTCTAGCACGAAGAAAAACGCTCTTTGTACGTCTCTCTGTAGAGATTTTTCAAGCAGCTACTAGCAACGTGATTTCTGAAATTGCAACAGTTACCGAGGGAGCACGAGACAGCACGCGAATCAGCCAAAGAAGAGAGGTATATACGCGTGTCTCTCGTTTCCGAAAATAGCGGCACCTGATTAAAATCGCAAAGCAGTAGCCGATTCAAAGGCGACAAGCACGGTGCCATAGAAAAATCTTTCCTCAAGGTCGCGTTCTCCATTTAAGGGAGCCTCCACGGCGCCCGGAGGAAAGCAGCCATTACGTCACCGTACTTTATGTCCCTCTGAATCATGCAACTTGGACTGTAGGACCTTCGTATCCGTAGACACACTGCTGCGTGTACACTTCCATCGTCGTTAGGTATCTCCTGCGCAAACAGTGTAATGTTTGAGAATTAGGAAAAAGGAGTGGGTCATGCTGGACTCTGGACGAAGAATCGTAAGACTAGCAAAGAAAATACAAGCAAGTTTACTCACCACGATTTTTCGATACGTACCACATCGTCAGATCGGTTCTCCTTCGTGTGTTGTAGCATGCAACAACTACGCACAGCTAACACAATGGGCAGCGTCGT